TAAATAATTTAGTGTTCCCGGACTTTATGTACTTCCTGTATTTACTGTTTATATATATTATTCCACGAATGTGCGAAGAAAGAATTTAATTGTTCTAATTGAATTTTTACGTTCTTTTTAAGAAATGAATATTTACGCTGTCTGAGATACTAACGTCATTAAATAAATATAAATAAATAAATACGTAATGAAGATATTCTCTTGAATTGCTCTGTATAGAACTATGTAAATAGAGAAATATAAATCTTCATTCAACTTACGCAGTAATCCGAGAAAGAGTATTGTAATCTCTTCAGTGAGGTATTTAATGTTGCGGGTGCCAGAGAAGGCAAATTCAGAAGCTAAGTAGACTGTTAGAAAGAAAGAAAGAAAGAAAAAAAAATAGTTGGCACTTGAACTGCCCTTAGGAACGCAGAGTGGAGCAGTTTATCGAATTACTGAAATGGAACTGACATGTGACGGAAGGAAGGACGAAGGGGAACTGCGAAACATACGATAACGAAAGACGAAAGAAAGAGAAAATATATGAAACCTTCGAAGAAGAAGAAGAAGAGGCTCTTGAAGAGCTCTTGAAGATTATCTTATCGTGATGTTTGTTTTCCTTTCGCTTCTCTTTGAAGATCCACATCTCAGAGACTTTAATAAAGCTTTTAGCTTACATATACGAAACAGATATATTTCATGTAAATAAATTCTTTCGGCTAAGTTTTCGTGCTCTATTTGCACTACATGAATAAACATAATGCAAATTTCGAGTGTCTATCCACATATTTCCGTAATGACAACGTGTTTCGACTAATGTCTATTTACATTGCATTCCGTGACGTCTGTATCTCAGACTGAGAGAATTTTTCGTGAATAATAAATTGGAAGGTAGCGGCTACGGTCTAATTTTAACTATTACTTTCGCGCTACTCTGAAAGGGGCGAGGTAAAATCATTATAGCCAGTCTCTGCGAAGGTATTGGAACCTGTGTACCCCAAAAAACAAAATAACTCCCATCTGGACCTTACAGTGTTACGTAATTATGAGAAATGAACGCAGTTCAATAGCGTTCTGTAAGTACTGTGCCCTCTCACCCTCGACATTCGATGCATGAAAATTCGTATTTGGATTTTTATCAGAAACTGTGGGACGAATTTTATTACTGCAGAATTCAATCATATTATTTAATTAGCATTAAGCTCAAATTTAACTGCCTAAATTTTCATAAAATATTGTCATCTTAATACTACTACCGTAGAGCCCCTGGGGCTCTCAGTAGCGTAGTTGGTTGAGGCACTATGCTACAAACCGGAAGGTCGCGGGTTCAAGTTCCTATGCGGTGGATTTTTTCAATTTACCTAATCCTTCTATCCGCACTATGGCCCTGGATTCGACTCAGTCTCTGAAAGAAATGGGTACTAGGAATCTTCCTGGGGAATATAAGCCGGCCGGCGTCTAAGGGAAACTTACCGCCATCTGTGAGCCGATTATCTAGAGAAAATGTGGAAATTTCGGCGTCTCACAACCCTATGGACCTCCACGGCCTGTCACAGGGATAGATTTACCTGTTTCCTTTTACCGTAGAACCCCATGAGCTGGAAGATATCTCACATGAACTGTTCTGTACAATCGGCATTACTGGGGTTTCGGACTTTGTCCATCGTCGCTGTTATAAAGAACACTAAGAACACAGTGTTTCGGAAACTTGATCTCTTTCCATCCTCAGGTGTTGGTCTCGTTAGAAAGAGCTAATCCCCATCACCGGGTGTCCATACCGAAAAGAATAGGCGTCTCATCCATTTCACTCGAGGACGGAAGAAGATTCAGCTTCCGAAACGTTGTGTTCCTTATATGTTCCTTAAAATACCGGACGATGAACGAAGCCCAAAAACCCATTAATCTCGGTTGTCATGCTTCTTCGTCAGAACCCTTTAGAATCTTCCTGCTCTCTACTGCTGTTCTGTTTGTTATTAATAACTTGAATCGGTGTGTCAACTATACTACTCACGCACACACACAGACCAAACACACTATATTTGTGTTAAGTAGATACATATTGGCAAGAGTTACACTTTGTACACTGTCTGTGCTGAAGCTTAGCTGTATTTGCATGTGTCAACTACAAGGTTAAGTTGCTTTTCTTTTTGTTCACATTTCGAATTCCATTATAGGTATCAATACCTGTTCGTTCGTGAACATTTTCCGTTAACAGTAAATAATTTCCTGATATTGGTTCGTTTTTTAATTTTGTTATTTAAGAATACTGTGATATGTTGCGCAAAGGAGAACCCCCCCCCCACCAGCAGTGACGCGGCGGGTGAGTCAGCGCTCCCCTCCCCCTCCTCTGCACGGTAACGTAACGGTGACGCAACAGGATTGTTACGGTAGTAACAGCGGTTACTACCGCTAGCGTT